GATACAATGCCAGCTGTGTGATATTTGGTTTCACCAATCATGTCTTTCTGAAAACTGTGAATTTGATGATAGCTTTATATGCAATTATTGCATTGAAAATTAGATATAATAATAGATAATAGTTGTATTATAATAATACTGTGTTACCAGGTGAATTTAAAAATTGAAATTATAAATATTAGCTAAATAGAATGATCCTGAAATAAAATAATTTATTCATTATTCTACATAATAATTACTTATTCATTATTATCGATGGGTGTGGTTTTAGTACACGACAGGCCACGGTGATTTACGGGATGATAACGTCCTCTCCCTAATGGCATGTAAAAAAATTGGTTCACCCATTTTTGGGTGAAGTAGAATGACTGAGGAATGGTCAGTTGACCAGACCCTCCCGGAGGCACAGAAGGTGTGGTCTGGCTACGTGAGACTATACTCTATAATTGGCCTTTGTACTGTATTAGCATGATAACAAGAGTATTAACCAGTTTAACTGACTAGTGTACCTATATTGGGATCTTAGGCTGCTAGGACTTCTAACAGGATTTTAGCATAGTGATAATGCTGGAATATTTCTAGAAAGTTCAAGATTGTTATACAGTATCCACATAGCACTACAAAACCAGAGGATCAGGTTGCGTAAAAGCAATCATTCAGAAAAGAAGATATCATAGAAAAAATAGTATTTCAAAGAAATAAAAACTATATGCACACACATACATGAGACCATACTAATCAACTTTCTAAATAACATTATGAACTAAAAATTTAGTGATAATAATAATGATTAATTAAAACTTGCAGCAAAAGTACTAAACATTTAAAACAACTCAACAACTGATTCACGACTAGCACTGTGTCTAACATCAGTAGAACTTGGCACAATTTCTCTTTTTTGTTGATCAACAGTTTTATGTGATTCAGTTAAGTCTAAAAGAGGTGCATCATCTTCATCTTGTTTCTTGAGTAGCTTCTTAATTAGAGCATCATAACATTTCATATGTGATAACTGCAGGTAAAGATGATAAACAACAATCAAAATAAAACTAAAAATAAAAGTAGATAAACAAGTATTGTACCAGATCAATACTTTATGCTCTTCATTAAGAGCTACAGATAGACCAACCATGATACATAAGTTAAACAAGAACCAAACTTCAAGTACATTGTTCATCCTCTTCTTGTAAACTCCACCAAAACAATAACCTAATGATAGCACAATAACTAAAACTGTCAATAGCATTGACAATAGGAAGTGCTGTGACTGAATGAAACTGTCAACTAAAGTAACTGATAATAGTACTGGTATCCTAGCCACTAGCAGTAGACCAGGCCAGAACCGATACTCATCTTTCATTGTACCACTATAAGCATCAATAATAGGCTTGAAACGACTCCAAAATTTCTTGAAAACTTTCAAATTAGAAAGATACTTTTCATAAAAAGGATTAAGTAGAAAGAACAGTGTGTATGGTATGACAAAGAAAACAGTCACCAATAAGGCAAAACCAAATAGTCCAGCATGCTTCCCTTTACCATATTCAAAATTAGGATCCTCATACCATAAACTAACTGATTTTACTGACTCATTTGTACAGTGAAGAGTTACCTCACGCTTGTGTAGTACAATAACTATAGTACGTACTAGTTTAGTATATGAGAGAAGGAAGAGTGTAGATAGAACAGGAACGGCATGAGACCCCATCAGTCTTGATATCTTACCATATCTCCTACACAATTGTATAATGATAATGATAATGATCCAAAGGTAAAGAGGGAAAGCAAACTGGAGCCATTGTTTAGCATAATTGTCCATACCATTGTAAAAACATATCTCAAACCCAAAGTCTAAGTTAATCCATGATATGATTTGACTCAAGACTGGTAATGCTCCTTTCCTTGAAAAGACTGGCTCGTATAACTTGACAATGTTAGCATAGAACAATAGACCATTGAGTGTACCCACTGATACTGTTAAATTGAGAGCAATCAGTAGAACCACAAGTAGTACACCCATCACTGCAAACAGAGCAATCCAAGCTATCATCATGTAATTATTATGACAATGTCCACACTTGTTTGATCCCATTAGTAGACTGTATCCCACTCTACATGATCCACACATTCTCTGTCCTCTATTATCCACACATTGAATATCAGTGTGATTCAACTTGAAGGTAACAGGATTAGGAGAACAATAGAGGAGACAGTCCTCATTGATAATGCATGCATTAGGATTGGTTTCATTAGCATTGAAAGGTGTACTGGTATGATATGTTCCAATCCACAGTAGACCATTGTGTGTAATGTTTAGACTATTTATATCACATGTGACATTCTCTCTTGAAACACTTTGACTGCAAGTACAGGAACCTTGTGAACTGCTTGTACTGAAGCCAATGGGACACTCATTAACAATATAATCAAAAGATATGAAATTATAGGTAGGGTTATTATATACTGACAATCTAATGTGATATATTCTTGTTTGAGTAAGATATGGTGTGTATTTAATCAATGAGCAGGTATTATTAACGTATTTTTGACTGACCAGTGTGAAGGTGCTATTGGAACTGGATTTGCCATATAATTTTAATATACCAATTGTAGGAGAAAATCTTCCGAAGTAGTTTTTTCCCAACAAAGTCACGTACATTTTTAATGCTTGACCCGGAAATATGTGCTGGTTACTTTCTAGAAAAGTATGCCTTTTAGAATTGATAGGATCACAAAACCGCACTGACATAGCATTATTTGTTGAACTAATGTGTTGGTTTGTCAATTTAAACCGATACTCATGCAGAAATGATCTATGATATCCATACATGTCACCACCAACCAGTCCAGCAGTATTATTTATTAATGTAAGAGGCATATTTGGAATTATTAATATAATGTCACTATCTGATGACTCTTCAATATAGATCCCTCCTCCTTTATAAGAAGCATAATTATCAATAAACTCCAAGTTAGCTGATGATGTTAAGGTCAATACTGATGAGTCATTTATTGCTAATCCTCCTCCAACTACTCCAGTATTGTTCCTGAATATTAAATTATTTTTAATTGTTACTAATGATCTTGCAAGTGCCAATCCTGTTGAGGTACTGTTAGCAACAGTAACATTACTGAGACTAATAGAATTAGATAAACTGTTTAGTATCTTATTTCCTCCATTTCCAATAAGTTCAGTATCTATTATATCAATCTGAGTGGATCTCAAAAATGTTCCATTAATGCATAAACCTTCATTTATATTGTCATATATCAAACATGATCTAATAATAAAGTGATAGTTCATTTTTCCAGGTACATAAATGTCACTGTTGATGTTCAATCCCCTTGGATTATGATAAAATTGACTGTCTTCAAATACAATAGTAGAATTTAATTCAACACCAGGATAATTGCAATCCATTGTTTGTTTTTTTCGAAAAACAATTCTTACATTCACTCCGTAAGCAATAGCATGATGAAATGATGATTTGGTAATAAAGAAGTAAAGAAGACTATCAATCAATAAGAAAGAAGGGTGAACATAATTGCTGAAGTCAACATGATCAAAGGTTATTGATAAATTGTATGAGGTACCATGTTTGATAATTAGTACCATTTTACTGTGATTATTCAAGGTAACGTTAGTCAGTATCAATGAGTAATGGGGTAGTTCATTGCTGCATACTTTACGAGCATCATACTTCATACTGATGACATAGGCAATAAAAACTGATGAAAATACTTTAACATCAAAAACATTTATAAATGTAAAGCTAAAATTGAGTGCCTTTGTGATAAAGAATGAATCAGTTATTGTAATATTTTTAGATGAATGAATAGTGACTGAGCAGGAATGTACTGTCAAGCTAGATACATTGATGTGACTGCTGTCATGGACTAAAATTGAACTACTGTAACAGTACAAATGTGACGACTGATCAAGTCCATGTAGAGTGACATTCTTTACTGCA